CCGCCCCCCCCACGCCCGTTCGCGGCCAACCCGCGCCGCCGCCCTCCTCCGCCGCGCCGCCCGCCCCTCCGCCGTGCCGCTGCGGGCGAGACCGCGCGAACTGCCTCCACCTATTCACAGTGGGAGGTGTGAAGAGACGCTGTTCACAGCTAGAGGCGAGCTGCGAACTGCCTCCACCGCCGCCGCTGCTCGCCAACGTCTACCGAGGAGAGGTCTACCGAAGAGAGGACATCCCTGCTCTCCGGCGCATCCCTGCCGCCGCCGCCGCCGCCACCGCCACTGCCGCCGCCGCCGCCACCACCACTACCGCCGCCGCCGCCGCCGCCGCCGCCAGTGCCTCCGCCGCCTCCGATGTCGCTGGAGCTGGAGGCGCCAACCGCGGAGGAGGGGCGCCGCCGAAAGTGCCAGTCGAGGCGGCCCTTGTCTGCGGCCAGGTCCATCGCGTGCGCGTACGCCGCCTGCAGCCTCTCCCTGTCCCGTGCGGTGTCGGCGTTGACAGTCGGCACGAGGGCGCGCGGCCGCAGCGCCGCGACGAAGGCCTGCAGCTCCGCCCACGGCGAGTCATGGTTGCAATGATGCTATTACGACGAGTGATCGTTCCCACTGTATTACTCCATGAGCAGTGTCTGTGTAGGCCTGCAGCTCCTCCCACGAAGAGTGCTCAGAGTACGGCACTCCGTACATGCGCGTGGTGCCCGCCCCCTCGACCCACGGCTTGGGGAGACCCGCCTACGCCGCTGGATGCGCCAACCTCAGGGCGGGAAGGGCGGTGGTGTGCGGTTTCTTCAGTGCACCGCGTGAAGACGAGGCGGCTGCGAGTGCAGCGAAGACCGCGGGAGATGGTCCGAATACGGCGGAGTGCGTGCCCGCCCGAGCGCGGGTTGGAAGACATGAATACGTACTCCGCTTCTAGGGCTCGAGAGATGGGGAGATGCGGGGAGGTATGGGGAGATATTCCGCGTCTAGGGAGGACCCCGCCTCATCCGACTTGGAGTACGCCCACCCCGTCGGCCGAAACGTCACCACGGCGGCGTAGCGCTCGCCGTGCCTCTGGAGCAGCGCACCCATCGCCTCGTGCGCCTCCACGCCCGCGGAGAGTGGCATCACGTGCACGCGTACCTACGGGCCGGCGGTGTACTGTTACTGTGAGGGCAACATCACCGCGTCCCACCGCCTGCTAGACGCGCCCTGCGGTCGGCGGCTCCTCTCGGGGCCTCTCGGGTATTCTCGGGGCCTCTCAGGGCCTCTCAGGGCCTCTCGGGGGTTAAAATCGGCTCCTCTCGGCTCCTCTCGGCTCCTCTCGGGGTACCCTCGAGAGATACTTGCTCTCCACTGCTCTCCTGCGGGTCGGCGGCATCCACGGTGTGCAGCTCGGCGTCCCACAAGCCGCAGAGCTTCAGCGAGAGCGCGCGGCGCTCGGAGAGCAGCGCGCGGCCGCCCGCTGCGCGCGCGACCGCGGCGATTGCCTTCTCCTTGCCAACCTGGTACGAGCCGACGATGAACAGCGTGCGCGGCTAACCCTAACCCTAACCCTAACCCTAACCCCAACCCTAACCCTAACCCTAACCCCAACCCTAACCTGGTACGAGCCGACGACGAACAGCGTGCGCGGCTCGCGGCGCAACTCGGCGGCTGTGACGGCGGCGAGACATCGCAGCGCGTCTGGCTGCGGTGGGAAGCGCCAGCGCGGCGAGGAGTAGGTCGTGTCGAGATAGAGGACGTCCACCGCAAGGGGCGAAGGGGAGGCGGCGGCGTCGGTGGTCTCGGCGGCAGCGGTGGCGGCGGCGGTGGCGGCGATGGCGGAGGTGGTGGGAGAGGGCGAGTGGTTGCAGCGGTGGCAGAGGCGGAGCAGGCCGCGGCGCAGCAAGGCTGCGCAGACCGCCTCGCGGATGGGCTGCGAGGCGCGCATATCTCCGGTGTGCAGCGCGGTGTGGCCAGTGGCGAGGTGCTCGAGCAGGAACATGAGCGAGCCGGGGCAGTGGCCGGCGTCGAGGGCGGTGATCTGGACGCCCTCGACCTCGATCGACTGGCCAACGTCGATGGTGGTGATCCGCTTCTCCGGCAACCCAATCGTGGCGCGCAGCACTCGCGCGGTGACCGAGGAGCAGTAGACGGTCCCGAGGTCAAAGGACGCGTGCAGGCCGCAGGTGTGGTCGCTGTGCGCATGCGTTAGCAGGTAGTGCCGCACGTCGGCCTCGCAAAAGTTGAAGCCGTCGACAATGAAACCGGAGAGCGGCGGGCGCAGCCGCTTGAGGCTGGCGTGCTGGGTCGCCATCGATCGTCCGCTGTCGGCAGCTCCACGCCGTTGGCCTGGAGGTCCGCCTGCAGCTGGTTGGCCGCAGAGTCGCCCGAGGGCCCAGTAGGGACCCACCCAGGGCGGCGCCCCCCCCCCCGGGGGGGGCGCACATTGTTTCTTTTGGACCAATATTGTTGGAAAACCTACAGATTTCATGGCGGGCCGCCTAGGCCCTGGGGTCGGATGTAGAGTCGGTGGCGGTGCCGCGCGCGGCGCGGGCTTCGCTGTCGGGGGCGTTTAGGGCGGGGTCGGGGAAGGGTGGTGGGGTCGTGGGTTGCCCGCCAGAACCCCGGTGGACGTGCGTGGACGGACGAATTGGCTCGCAGATTTGGAAAAAAAATGGGAAGGCTCACTCGTCTCTGCCCGTCCTGTGGTTTGTGCCGCGTCCCGTGCCCCTGACGGAGTTAAAACAATCCGCTCGACAGACAGCCGGCGGTCCTTTTCTTTTCTAAAAGATTGCTGCGCCGCCGCACTTTCTTACGCCAAAAGAGAGTTTTTTTTGCAGAGCAAATTGTGAATGAGCTTGCCTGTGGCGGGGGCGGGCGAGTGCACGGAGCTAAGTGCCTTGTCCGAAGAGGCCACCGGCCAAAAGCGCATGTCTTGAAGGTCCGATACTGGAAGCCCATATAGGCACCTTACACTCCCCCGCAGTATCGCACCTCTTGAGCGACACTACGTTTCCGCAGCTGGGGATTCTCCGGGTACCCCTCTTTGTACCCGTGCTGGCCGGATTCCTCCTCCGAACAAATCAAGTTCGATCGGCCCTCTCCCTCCCTCCTTCCTCCTCCTAACAAACCTAACATCCTCCTCCTCCTCCTCCTCCTCCCCAAGTCCTCAGCAGCCAGCCCTCCCTTGCGGCGGCTGGGTGCTCGTCGAGACGGAGGCCTTTTTGTTGCTCCCCTACAAAAGCAGTATAGCCTACAATCTCCCGAGGGCCTGCGACCCGCCGCACGGATCTCCATAGTTACCCTATGCCATAGAGCACCGCGACTCGCCCCCGCTGGATGTGGGGAAAGAGCTTAAATATTCCTCGCCTACCTCCCGTGGCTCGCTCAAGCGACCCATGGCGACAATATCGTCAGCGAAAAGCCCGGGCGGAATGGCGACGAATGGCGATGCGGAAAACAAAGGGGGGGGGGGGGGGAGTCCACGTGCACTGACAACATGTGATGCTCAAAGACGTGACACATGCCGCCAGAGCCGTCTTCAGTGTGTGGAACTCGCTGTGAGCTGGGAGATGCCCTGCCGTCACGCGTCCGCGCGCTTCAGGCGAGCATCGTCCGGCAGACCCGCTCGACGGTCGCGGCGAGCTCGGCGTCCTGCTGGTTGGACCGGCGGCCAGGCTGCTTGAGGGGCTGCACGAGCGCCATAATCCACCCGAGCGCAATCGGCACAAAGCACGCCTTGACCTCGCTGTTCTTGAAGGAGGCGAGGCCGGCGGCAAGTGCCTCCGTCTCGTGGCCTGAGAGGCGCGTGAAGTCCATGAAGGCGGCCCAGCCGGCAAGGAAGGTGCGCGTGGCGACGAAGCGCGCGTACGTGGTGTGGTACTCATTGTCGTTGTTGTTGTAGTCGATTTCTTCGTGGCGCTCCCTGTCCTCCTTGATGAGCTTGCGCACGAGCAGCAGGATGACCGCGACCGGCGGTGCGAGCTGGCGCGTCACCGTGAGGAAGAGCTGCGCGAGATCCTTGAAGCACTGCTCCTGCTCGAAGTCGTCCTCATACTCGTACTCCCACTCGTCGTCATCGTGCTGGTCGCTCCAAATCTTGTTGATGTGCGAGAGGAGGGCGGCAGCAGCCGCCTCAACCGGCAGATCGGCATCGCGCAGGCACGCCTTGAGCGCAGTCAGCGAGAGCGGGATGGCGTCGAGCAGCAAGGTCAGAGACTCGACGTCAGGCTTGTCCTTGTAAGCCGGAGAGCGCTCGGCGAGGTCAACCACGAGATGCGGCGTCCAGTCGAGCCGGTGGACGTTTGAGCGGATGGCCGAGCTGAAGGTGTCGCTCCACGTGCGCCGCCGCTGCTCCTCGTCCCAGTTCTGCGACTCAGTCACCTTGGAGGCAAAGGCCAAGAAAGCATCGGGCTTCATCGCAAGACTGCACGCCACGACGCACTGCTTCCGCTGCTTTTTGAGAAGGTTTGTGACTTGGTTTGTGATTCCGCTGTGCGGATAGCAGGAAAAGAGCCCGCTGCCGTGCCTGAGCCCTTCCCCATTCTGGTCGCGCACGGCCTCCTCCAGCTGAACAACAACAGCTTCGCGCGAAGAGCACATGGTTTTGAGGCGGGCGAGGAGGGCGACGCCCATTTGGTGCGCCTTGTCCTTGTCCTCGGCGTCTTTGTTCAAGCGCGCGCGCGCGAAAAAGACGGACCGCACCGCATGCTTGAGCTCGCTTGCATCTTGGAGCAGTTCGATCGGTGCCGACCAGACCTCCTTGTCGATCACCCGCACTGCAACGAGCGAAGACAGAGCCTTGGAGGTGAGCGCCAGCCTCGCGAGCGAGTCAGGCGGCATGCCAGCGATGACACGCTCCGAGAGCTCGCTGGGAAGCGTGCTGAAAACATCTTCGCAGGGCGCCAGCGCCTTCTGGCGACGCGTGCGGAGCATGAGAGGCGGAGGAGTTGGCAAGCGCGGACAACCTCTGGCGAAAGCGACTGCACCCTGAGTGACAGCGCGCGAGAAAAGAATTTTTTCAGGCCGAAGCGGCAGGCGTACGGGGTAGTCGTCACACCCTCCTGCCTCAAAAGGGTGGGGCTGGGAGTCGCTTAGGTGCTCCCGTGTTGTACCTGTGTCAGTGCCAGTGCACGCCAGTCCCGTGCCCAGTGTCGTGCGAGGGAGCTTTGTTGTAAACTTCTGTGAAATTCTACCAACAAATATACCTACACCACAAATACCTAAAAGACAAATAGAGGGGGAAACAAAAGGAAGGGGGAAATTGGGTAAAAACGGCGGCGCGACGTCTCGCCGCTGTGCCGCCCAATGGCCCCCTGCCGAATGCGCCTGTTGCACCGCTGTCGCCGCTGGCTGCTCGTGCCCGGGCCGGCGTGGGGTATCTTCCCGCGCGACGACGAACGGCGCCGGCACCGACCACGCGTGGGGCAGCAACCATTTCCTCATGGGCGGGGGCGTCAACGGCGGCAACATTCGGGGCCAATTCCCAGAGCTCAGGGTCGACGGGCCGCAGTCCATTTCGGGCAATGCGCCCATGCTGCCGACCTCGCCATGGGAGGCGATCTGGAAGGGCGTCGCGCTGTGGGTCGGCGTCGACGAGAGCCAGCTAAACAGCGTGATGCCCAACCTCAAGAACTTTGGCGAGGCGGACCTGATCCCCTACGCAGACCTCTTCCGATAGGCAACCGTCAGTAGAGTCTATAGAGAGTGTGTACCTCCGTGCCGGCACCGTCCCCTCCGGCCGGTCCGCTCTCGCTCGACCGGACGCGAGACGTAGGTCACATCACTGTGGAAAACCGAATGGCACAGTACCGGGCCTACTCTAGAGGGTAGCCAGCCCGTAAGAGTAGTCAGAGTAGAACGTAGCTGGCACCACAGGCCGGAGGCCGCACACGCGGCAGCAGCGGTGATCTCTCTCAAAATCTCTTTTTGAGTACGCACCTTGTGATTTTTGGGTCAAAATCGTCCCGATTTCATAATGTTCGTTCGTACGTGCATCCGCGGCGCCCAGCGCGGTGCCAGCGGCTCCCATACCTCTAAGAGGCCACCCACCTCCGTATAGACCCTTATATCCGCGGTTTACGCCCAATAGAGGCAGCTGCAAGAGGGCCCGGACGGGCACTGCGGCACACACTGCTCGCTGCTCGGCCATGCGGTAGCGTCTGGTGATGCCGCCCCTGCGCGGGCGGGGGCGTCTCGCTCGGCAGCAACTGCGCCGCGCAGCGCAGGTTCGAGGGTCGCGGTGGGTGGGTGCACTGGAAGACGTAGCGGTCGAGAAAGCGCTCAGCGACCGCTACGTCTCGAGGATGGAGCCGTCGCGCGGACCCGACCGGCCGACCGGCAGTAGCAGCAGGCGCCGGAGGGCGCGGGAGGCAGCGGCGACACCTCGGGCCAGAAGCGCGAGCCCTAGGCTGGTGAGGGGGCCCGCTCATGCGTAAACGGCTCTGGGACTTAGCTAAATCGCGCATCGAAATCGGGACGATTTTGCCAGGGCACCGTCACAAGGTGCGCGCGCTGGCCGCTGCCGGGGCTCTGTCTCACTCTCACGTGCCGCAATATGTGTCACACACGGCGGCTTCTGCCACCTCTCGATTGGTTCTACTTTCTACGCACACCTACCGGGGAAGGGGCGCTTGGGAGCGGGGGCGGGGGCGGGGGCGGGGGCGCGCAGCGCGGCTGCGCGGCGCGCGCAACAGAGGGTAGGGTGGGGAAGACGGCGAGGAGGGGGCGGCGGCGGCGGCGGCGGCGGCAGCGCGCGCGCGGCGCGCGCGACGGGTGGGGCGGAGCAGCGACCGGTGG